TTGCTTTGGGACTTACTAGCTTGCTAACTGATTCCCTGTCTTTCAGTCGTGTATTCTCTTTTACAATAAACCTCTCTTTCTTTCATCTATGCCTGTATTGTTGTTCTTTTCACTGTCTGTTTGTAACCTTCTTTAAGGATACAACACATGTCAAAATAGAACTTTCCCTAATTGTCTTATATTTACCATTCCATCAGATTCCTATCTGTACTTTACTTATATAAGATTATGAATAAAAGATACATAACTGACATCTTGGCTGCATTAAGCTACATTTTCAGCATAACAGAATTTATAAATTTCAAATATTTAAGTATGATGTAACTCCACCATGACCAACTCATCTTTTTCAGATAATTTTTACTGTTACGGTCTGATTTAAATTTCTGTTGCACCTCGTCTATTTTCTGAAAATTATCATCTAATTTGAGGTGAGATTAAATCAACAAAGCTAAGGATGCAAGAATGAATGGCTAGGAAACCATTAACTGTAGCAATGCCTGCTTAACTTTAATCATCAGGAATGTTTGTTGCACTCGGTCATAAAACTGCAGAGAGAGAGAAATTCCTGCTTAAAAACTCTCAATGCAATTTTCTTGTTGAATGATAGAAACATTTTTACATACAATAATCAGTGGCAAAGGATTTCTAGAGAAAGATGAATTGTTTAGAGGAAAATCAAGCAAAAGTAAGTCAACTGAAAAGCAACGCTTCTTATTGCCATTCATACCAGATGTCAATAAAGTCCTTATTTTTAAAGAGATGAGATAAAGACTTTTATTACAGATTGAAAGCTTAAACTTATTGAATTATCAAGAGGTGGGGTTGATATGAATAATGCCAGAGATGCTCTAGAGTGTGTCTTGAAATGTTGCAGGAATTGTCTTGAAATGTTACAAAATGATCTAACCCATACATAGACGCTGGCGACTGTCATGTTGTCCGCTACTCTTGAAACTCATCTTTCATCCTGTAACTGATCCCTTTTTTTACCCAACATTTCCCATGTGTTTGATTTGAACAACTTTGGGGCTTTTGTAGGCACACTCTGGATGCACAATGGTTCCTATCGTTTGCTGAAAAGGTTTGGCCTGTTGGCTGATGCCCCAATATGTGTCTAGAAATTCTGCAAATAGCATAATGTCACAAATGTAATATTTTTAATTTTTACAATTCACTCTGTACAAGACCCAAGAGCCACTCAAGGTAGAGGGTTACAGAGTAAGAGATACAGTTTATGGGGATATGTAGGGAAGATAATGGTTAACTCTAGACTTGAACAGTTTAAAATTGTAGTGATCAGGAAAGCAACCTCTTGGGAGTTAGTTTCCCAATACAATAGTTCATGGGAAGAAACTGCTTGATTGGAACTTAAATCTCACCAATGAAATACAAAAGGAATGGTTTACTATAATGTACATGGCATGGCAGGTCTTAACTCTGAAGATTAGAAATGGTAGAAATAAGGAACATAGTTCAACTGAACACTTTTTATGGAAATAGCAATAGAGTAACAAGAGGCTCACTGTATTTCGTCTGAGAGAAAGGGGAAAATAATTTATCACTTACAAGGAGATGGAAATATTTTTGAGCTCTATCAAGACTGGAAGATGAAGATTGATCTACAGGAGGCCCAGTAAAAAAAGTGGCAAATTTATTATCACTGTTTTATCTTTCAGGAATAACTGACCTTGACCTTGAATAAATTTCTTGAATATTCATGACCCTGAATAATAATTCAACTCTTGCGTAATTACCTAACTCTGACTGATTCTTTTATGATTGATTAATTGCTGCTCGATCTTGGGACTCGTCATTTAAAGGTTATTTGTAGACAACTTATTTTCTTTCTAGAAATGCGATTCTCTGGTAAAAGAAAAGGTGTTTGAGCCTACTCAGTCGAACAAGAGATAATTAGCTAAAACTACACCAACTGCAATGCAGATTTGGACATGACATAGAAAGTAGAAAGGCTGTCTGTACAGGGCAAAAGGATCTGCATGACCATGTGTGTTGTGTCCGAGATGGTGCGTATATTGAAAACTTGTGAAATTGCTCATGAAATTCACATATGTTTGAATATCTCATTCAAATTTTGATGAATAGATCTTACTTTCGTTCAACAATAAGCCTGTTCAGTTTCATTTGCTTGGACTAGTTATTTTCACAGATAACATCAATTTCTTTTAAACATCCAGTAAAAAAATGGTAAATTTATTATCAGTTTTATCTTTCAGGAATAAATAACCTTGAATAAATTTCTTGAATATTCATGACCTTGAATAATCATTCAACTCTTACATAATTACCTAACTCTGAATAGTTCTTTTATGATTGATTAATTGCTTCTTGATCTTGTGACTTGTCATTTGCAGACAACTTTCTTTCTGCCCTTCTTGTATGGCTAAACAACTCACGGATTTTGAGCATGATTATACTTTTCAAAGAAGAACCATTCGACATGGGGATTGATGAAATGTACAGAAATTCTTCCTGAATTTTTCAGTCACATCAGTCATCACCAGTTTTCAATGAGTTGTTGCACGTCTTTCTGAATTTACCTTTTTTTTTTTACTGTCAGCTTGTATGAAAAAAATACTGCAGAGAGCAAAAATGCCAGAAATGCTCCAGGAACCATCTTGAAATGATGTTCATTGACTGCCATGTTGTCCGCGACTCCTGAAACTAATCTTTTATCCTGTAATTGATTTTTTTCGTTTTCTTTTTTCAACAAGTCCCATGTGTTTGATTTAAAAAAGCTTTGGGTTTTTATAGACAATCTGGATGAACAATGTTTCCTGACCTTGAAAGTGGGTGCTGAAAAGTTTGGGCCTCAACTAAGAATCTCTTGCAAATAAAAATTCTGGTTTGGTCATTTGGTCAAACTTCTGGAAGTGGATCAAACCAACAATTTTTCAACAAGCCCCTTGTGTCTCAGAATATAAGATGTTACATGTCTTCAGGAAAAACTCTATTCATAATGTCATGAACGTCAATGTTAAGGAAGTCTTCATCTTTGCTGATGAAAGTTTAGATATTTTTCAGTAAATAAAAAGTGAATCTTCCTATATTGACAATCATTGTAAAATATTTTTTTTTTAAATCATGGACAAAACCTAATTTTGGAAGTTTTGTCAGAATTTTTGTAATAATTTATTTTTGTAATAATAAGCATTATTAATCTTTACTATTTAGACCAGCAAAATTCCTAAATTCCAAGAAGGTTACCAAATCTAAATCCAGCAACCTGAAGAGGACAATGGCCAAAACATTGTGAGCTTAACAGCTAAGATAAGCAGGCTAGTCTAAATTGTTCGGATAAACTCTTTATGGCACCTAGACATTTTGAATTTAAACACAGTACTTGACTAGTATCAAGATCTGATCAATTTACAGTTGAGTTGGCAAGATATAACCATAAGTTCTATGTTAACAGTTTCTTTTCTCAGACTTCTCACTTGTGGAACACTCTTCCAGTTCCATGCTTTCCAACCAACTTTAATCTTCAAAAATTTAAATGTGATATCAATTATTATCTACTGTCTTCTATAGTTCTTGTCTCTTAAAAATGTTTCTGCTTTCTAATGCTTTCCCACCAACTTTAATTTGCAAAAATTTAAATGAAATGTCAATCGCTATCTACTGTCCTCCTGATTACTCTTTTCTCTTCCCGCTCATTATTAATGTTTTTGTTTCTAATTCTTCCACACCAGTAACCTCTTGTGTCTTAGAGGCTTTACTGCCTTGCTTGCAATGAACTTGATTAAAAAAAATAGTAAAGGATAGAATAATAATAATTAAGACCTGGCCTTATTATTATAGATAAGTTGAATAACAAATGACAAATTATTGACTTTGCTATTTCAGATGATACAAGACTGGACTCCAAAAAAATTAAAAAGATTGAAAAATACTAAGATCTGGACAGAGAGCTGACGAAACTATAGGATATGACTGTTAAAGTAGTTCCTGTAGTAATGGATTCACATGGATCACAACTTCAAAAACTAAAAAAACACTGAGCAAGACTTGGAACTGAGACCAAGATTTGTACATTTCTAGTCTCAATTGCAAGAATTCTCTTGAGATGTGAGAACAGAATTTCTGTTGACTATGTTAATGAGAGACACCAACATAATAATTTTTTTAATTTTTATTCTGTATTTGGAATGGTGGGTTTTAATGAGTTAAAAAAAAAAAAACAATCAATTTCACTTTCGGAATCTTTTTCAGTAAATATTTCTATAAAAACTCCATCTCATATTTTGAAATGCTATTGGATATTATCCTTTTTTTAAAAAAAAAACTATGTACAATGTGATTTATAAGGTTTTGATTTATGTTAAAAATACATAATTTGCTTTTTGTGACTCGGTCAGATTCAAAATTGGTTTCTGATTTAATTTAAATATTTTCTTTCTTCAGCTCTAAAAATTATCAGTCGATTTGTGTTCCAATTTGTTGAATGAAGCTGATCCCTTTATAGAAATCCATTGCCTGCTCTGACACAATGAAAGCCCTTTGGCAATGTTTGTTGGTTGATTTTGTTTAGTCGCATATCAACACCTCTATGGGTTATTTAATGCCAAAATCTAAATATTTTGTACACAATTTTATAACTTCAACAAAATATATTTTAAACTTAATTGTATGCCTTCAACTACAGATAAAATGTATTGTTGCTAATTCTGCTATAAATAGATATTGTTGCTAATTGTCACAAACAGGTATTGTTGGTAATTTTTTATATACAAATATATTGCTAGTTCTTTTATACTTTAATAGTGTTTTGTTTTTTTTAGGAAGTTCACTATTTTCCTATAGCTGGGACCCTAACAGGTGCTACCACCTCGGGTTAGGGTGAACCTGGGAACAACAGCAATTAAGAGGTGGTTCTATACTCCTCAAAACCTCCCGATCAAAGGCTTTTCTGCTGTTTGTACTTTATGGTCATACCCAGGACTACCTTCAGCAATGTGAGATTTGAGGAGGGTTTATCTTCAAACTAAAGCATCATAGGGTTTGAGTTTAACTCTGTAGCCGAGCACAATCCATTCGGTATTTCGCATGTCGTAGCCCATCCAAAGGAAATGAAACATGATGTTTGAAGCGACAATGCCGTATTCAGAAATGGCAAATGTTGTGTAAGCTGAAATTAGAAGCAAAAGAAAAACAGGCAAATGAAAAGCTGGTGCAGAGGTATTTAAGCAAGTAAATTCACATGCAACATATTTTGTTCATTGCAGATATATGTCTCAGCATCAAATGATAGAACAGACCAAGATATATCATAAGTGATTAAATATATTCAGAAATGTTGGTTTGTTGCTTTTCTCTAGCAGCATATCTACTTATCATTAAAGAAATCCACTTACCTTAAAAAAAAGTCTGATTGTGTGTGCCTCTTTTAGCCATTGCCTCCAAGATTCAAATAAAAACTGGAGTAGACTCATTCCACCATTTATAACAGTAAAAGGTTGATGGAATAGCCCAGGTGTGCTGCTTAAGAGGTTGATGGAATAACCCGGATGTGCTGCCTATGAGGTTGATGGAATAGCCCAGTTGTCCAACCTAAGGGGGTGATGTAATAGCCCAGGTGTGCTGCCTACAGGGGTTGATGGAATAGCCCGGATGTGCTGCCTAAGGGGTTGATGGAATAACCCGGATGTGCTGCCTAAGGGGTTGATGGAATCGCCTGGATGTGCTGCCTAAGAGGTTGATGGAATAACCCGGATGTGCTGCCTAAGAGGTTGATGGAATAGCCCAGGTGTGCTGCCTAAGGGGTTGATGGATTAGCCTGGATGTGCTGCCTAAGAGGTTGATGGAATAACCCAAGTGTGCTGCCTAAGGGGTTGATGGAATAGCCTGGATGTGCTGCCTAAGAGGTTGATGGAATAACCCGGATGTGCTGCCTAAGAGGTTGATGGAATAACCCAGGTGTGCTGTCTAAGGGGTTGATGGAACAGCCTGGATGTGCTGGTTACAGATTAGTGTACCAAACTTTGAATGCATATAAAGTCAGTGGCAGTGAATAAGAGGAGGGAAGAAGCCAACAAGACGTGGAAGAATGGATTTGTGGTGATTTGCACTTACATCTCTGTGACTTTGTAACTGTTTGCTACAGGGTTATTTAATATTTAATAACAAAATCTAAATATTTCGTATGCAATGTTATGCCTTCAACTACATATATTTTGTACATAATTCTATATTTCCAGATTGATTTTTTTTTTATGTCTTATCAACCCTTTGCATGTTATTTAAAGCCAAAATATATTTTAAGTTGTAAGAATTCTTTTAGCAATAATAATGTTTTAGTGATACAAGTCTTACTAATTAACCCATAGCTGGAGGAGAGAAGTGGTGGATTCATATCTTTCCAAAGGATATTTACGCATAAGTGAATATCTGAAGAATCTTATAAGATCAAGAATGGGGTATTGTTGTCATATCTGGGCTGGTGCCAACCAGTCTTCAATATCCAGCCATGACAGTGTTTGTGCTGCCTTGTGGGTGATGAATTATTTCTCCATCCTGCAACCCCTTCCCCACAAATAAAGCATTGCTCACCTCTTACTACTCTATCATCATTATGGCAAATGTTCAGACAAGCTATATTTCTCAGCATCACCAGTTCAGACCTTCACAACTATAACCAGCCATAGCATATAAATGCCATCCTCATCACCTTTTACTCTTTGTTAAGGCAGAAGTTCCATTCAGAACTGTCACTTTGTGGAACAGACTCCCAAGAGGATGCTTCCCTGACCCTGACAATCTTAACTCTTTCAATTTTAGTTTTTGCATGTTTTGTCTGATGGCATATTAATCTCTAGGGATTATTTAATGCCAAAATCTAAATGTTTTGTATGCAATTTTTTTTTTATTTTTTAAATAAGAATGTTTTTAATGATACAAATCTTACTAATTAACCCATAGTCGGGGAGATAGAGGAGGATTCATACCTTTCTCACAGATATTTACATGTAGCTATACGATTAACAATTCCAAGCTATTATCCATTGCACCATCTGCACATGGTATTCCCAAGCGGTCACCCATCTTGGTACTGACCAGGCTTGACATTGCTTGACTTTGGTGATCATACAACAACTTGTACTTCAATAGGATATGATCATTACTGCTTACATGACCCGCACATGCAAGCTTATAGCACTTGGTATTCCCAAGCTTAACTTTGGTGATTATACAGGTTTTTCACTGTTTCAATATGATGTGGTCATCAGCCTTTGATAGAAAGATATCAACATGAATGAAAGAGCAGACCAAGACAAGGGATAGTATAGAAGTGATTAAATATTTATTATTGCAGTAAAAATGAACGTATTAAAAACAATGAAATCAGGAAAAGAAAGAATACAATTAGCATGAAGAATTAAATCAAAAAATGAAAAGAGAAATATTTTAAAAAATATTGTTGGCCAATTATTGTTCCTCACTCTTCAGGGCTAAATCATAAAATAAAAAGGGTGTCCACAATAATAAAAATACAGCAGGAATAGCAAAGAGAATTATCAGTTGGTATCCGTCATTGGTTGTGCCAACATTAAATCACAAGTCACCGTGACCGAGGCTTTGAGCATACTGACCTTGTTTTAACTGTTGATCAGAGATTATGTGCTCTCTCCCAGTAATTGTCACTAAGGTTTGCTCAGCATAGTTGCAGTATAAACCACAGGTAGGCTCGGGGGTGTTGACAAAAATATGCTTGAGAATGTCTCTGGAGCAGCGATTGCCTAACCAGTCCAGCTGATGGGTGTACTTGTAAAACAGGATTAGCCAGCCATTGTATATGAGTGTGTTTGTTTGTGTATATATACTGTATATAATTATTTATAAGCTGACTTCATGTATAGTAAAACCCCTGAAGTTTTTTGCATGAATTTTAACCCCACATGTATAGTAAAATCGGTCACCGAAAATGACGCAGGAGTTATTTAACCATCAAAAAATAGTGCAACCCCCTATTTCTCTGTTTAAAAAAAATGACCACAAAAACTTGCATTATACTCAAGTGTGTACAGAGTATGCGTGCAAGTTGGAACAAAACTATAGTTTTTTTAAACTGATTTCAAAGACAAGATTTAGATATTTGTACATAGATATATTCAATTATTTTGCTGCCTATGAGGCAGCTTTATGATTCCATCATCCCTGAATTTGGCAGGTTTTGGAGTTATGAACTAGTTGAAATGGTTTTTATATGATTCTAGAGAATTGAAATTCTTCCCATTAAGAGAATTGTAAAGATTGAAATAAATGGTCATCTGTAGGTGCACAGTCAGGTGAGTACAGCAGATGTAGTAGGACATCACAGACAAGCTGTACCAATTTCTGCTGGGTCTACAAAGAGATGTGAGGTCTGGCGCTGTCCTGATGGACTACAACAACTTTCCAACTGGCTAATTCTGGACACTTTTCATCGATTGCTGCCTTAATCAGTTCAGTTGGAAGGAATACTTGCCTGAATTCATCATCTGATTTTGGGGAACTTATAATGCAAAAAGACACTTCCAATCCTATCGGATACAGACCAGTCTTTAAAGTGGTGAACAGTTGTTCATTTCATTTTGCCCAGGACCCTTTTCACTCCACATTGTTGTAAACAATCTATTTTTCATCGACTGTAACCGTTCCTTTACAAAAATGCATACTGTTACGTGTTGTAAATTGGACACAAAGGAAAAAAATTGATTTACCAAAACACAGAGCTAAATCACAAACAAATATTTAATTTTCTAAAACACAACATAAAATTATATACAAGATATAAAATTGTGGCTTACAAAAACAGAAAACACAGAATTTATGGGCGAAGTGTTACAAGGGAGAAGGAAAGGGAGTCAAATATCTTTATCACTTTAGGGCTAGTGAAGTAATCTAAGTGCTAACTGGAAATCCACAAATGTGAGTATATATTGAATAATTGGTAGTTTGGTCAATGAAAATTAGTCAAAACTCTATTTACCAGATTTGTTCCATGTGGTTCTCTTTTGGGGTTTTTGTTGGTCGGCAACTTTTCATAGAGATTCTTTTGGCTGGATATAATAATCCCCGAATCAAAAAGCCAGAGTTGATACTGTCAGAAATTTCCTTTCACCAACTGACACCCCTTTTCCAAAAACTTATTTTTATAGGGGCTAGCACCTAATTAGCATATTTCTAGATTTTTTCTCGAATATACTGGAATAATCTAGAATCTTCCAAACGTTCTATTTCTAATTTCTCTATTTTACAACTACTTCATGAATGAAAACTTTTTTGTAGTAACAAGTAGGACTCGGTAGAATCTCTTACTATAGAAATGCATCCTTGTAACAATACAGACATACAGTAGAGTAACGGCATGTACTGTGTACTCGGATTTTCATTTTCATGCATGATAACTAAAAACAGCAAGCAGAGATATTGCATCAAGTATTGCCAAAGGCTTGGTGATGCTTAAACTCAAACAATCCAGAAGATTCAGTAGGCCTTTGGCGATGATGCCATGGGCAAAACTCAGATCAAAGAGTGGTACAATTGCTAGAAACATGAGCACACCTCAGTGAAGAGTGACGTACACTCAGGCAGGTGATTCACAAGCTAAAATGAGGAACCAAGAAAGCCATTATGTAACAGTCCAGGAAATTTTTCACAAAGTGGCAATAAGCATGGGATCACCAAATTCTATTTTAATGGAAGATTTGTGTAGGTGGCAGAGTGTTGATGAAATTTGTCCCTAAGGTGCTGTTAGAGCAGCAGAAGCAACTTCACAGGGAAATCATTTAAGAAACAAATCTGAGGTCATAATTTTAAAAAAAAAACAAAAAAAACTCATGTATTTTATTATCTTATTCTTGAATATTTTCATCTTTAAAATATGGTTAAAAATTACATTTGTTATATTAATCAAAAGACAAATATCATTCATATTATGTATTTAAATGACATTAGTCAATCACCGTTTATATACTGGCATAGACAAAGAACGAATTGCTGTTAGATGAAACATACATTTGAACAAGGTCACCGACATCACCTTTGACCACAAGATTATCAAAAAATTGTAACATACCTGACAAGAGAGTATTTCCTCATAAAAAGGAATGGTCAAATTCAATTTCATAAGATTTATTTAATAAAAAT